AGTTATGTATTTAAAATTCCTTTAGACTATGCTAATTTATTCTCTCCAGGTATATGGTGATTTGTGACACGCTCGTGCCGGGTTAAAGCGTACTTCCGCAACACGGACATGTTTTAATAACGAGTGTTTTAAAGTCCATTTAGTGCGGTTGTATACCGGAGGGACGACAAATGCGAACTTCCTTTCTTTTCTTTGAATTTTTTTTGTTCTTGCTCTTTCTTTTATTTACTTTCTAACGAAGAAAGAGAAATTATTAAAGAGAGCCTGGAAGTCCCGGCATGTGAACGGCGGTACGATATTCGAGGAAATCGAAATATATTTAATAAGATGATAGTTACAAAATTTTTGTGAGTAGGGAAGATCGAAGCTAGATGCTTCATATATTTCAGAATTCCAAAGTTATAACTTCTCAGACAACTAAAAATTGTTGTGACTAACTGTACAAACAATTTTTTGGTCTGTGTTAATGCCCGCCACGATGCTGTTAACCGTATATTTTGTTTTGTAATAACCAAAATATAAACATGCAGCAACATTGCCATCTTGGCCTGATACCGGATTTAGTTGCTCAATAACGCACACAGGGTGAGAAGACCACATATAAAATATATATTTTATGAGTAGTAGTTTGGCGTCTCCGCGAGAAATCTGTACAGCTCTACTGTACACTCCTACTAGTTGATTTTTACCGTTAATTTTTACTAAATTAAAACCGGGCTAATTTTACCTCATCCACTTATATGCACAATTTTTATCATTTTACAAGTGAAAATTATTTTTATTACTTTTATTTGAAACAGAGAGTATATTTGCAAGAAACTTCATTCTAATTAATAACATGTTATTTACCTTTATTTATTCACGATGGAAAATATTAACAATTTCGAGAGATCCGCAAATTTACTTTACTATTTATATTTTTTTTAATTTTTCAATTATAATATTATTCCAATTTTAATGAAACTCAAGGAAAAGTATCTATGTTCTAAACGGTCCATTTTGCGATTTTGTATTCACTCTATATATAAATACTAAAAAAAAGCACATGAGCAACATATCCCTGAAGCGATCTAGATCTTTCTTACTTGCTATGTTGATAAAAATCCGGCTAAATGTTGATACTACATAAGGATTCTATGTTATAAAATTCTTCAAGAAATCTTAAGAGATCTCTCCTTAACTCCCCTCTGAAACGCAATACATAAGATTGCACTATTGCAGTGAGTTTCACGGAATTAACTGTGCAACTTTTTACAAGAAACTTCGGGGAAGCAATTGCTTTACATTTTCCTCGCGCTCTCTTGAAATATTATTGCGAGTTCGCAAGAGAAAAAGTGGTCCTTCGTTCCCTCTGAATATTATTAGAGGCGTCGCCGAGTATCTCTTACATAGTCAAAAACGCGTCCGATGTATCCGGCGAAGCGCCGTCACAAATTGCTTCTATACTCTAAATCGAATTCCACGACCGCCACCTCTCCAATATTCATTCAATCATTCTTGAAATGCGCATGTTTAAGACAGCCAAAGATCCAATTATTTCGATCGCCTGTCACCAAGATCCACTCGGCCAGAGGGAGGGCGGTAAGAGAAGAGCGAGAATCGTTGACAGCTTCCTTCCGCCGACTCGGCGCAATATTTCATACCGCCACGGCATATCGACATTTCTAGCACGATCGTAAGTGGCCGCCATTAGAGTGTATAAAGAAGCCGATATATAATAAAACCCGTTTCGCGCGCTACTGGGAACAGCTGCGGGCGTCTCCGCATCCTCAGACTCCCCGGAGAAATTATCCTTACCGTCGAATAATCACCGTGCGTTCGTCTCGCTTCGCTATTTTTTATCGCGCGCTTCATGGAACCCTGCAGCCAATTATCCCGGCAGATCTTCTTCCAAGATCCACGACAATGACGATATTTGATCCTTGACTTTTCCTCCCAATTGTATCATCTTTAATCTCGCCCTCTTGTCAGTATAATGATCTTTATCGCATAATCATAATCGCTGATCCCGATGAGTAACGAGATTTTATGAGAATTATGAAACATTTCTATTTAAGCTCGTTATTATTTTCTATATGTACTCCCTTTCCCTAAATAAATTTTATAAACGGTGCTTTTGTATTCTATTTTTTCTTTGCCCGAGAAAGTTTAGTTTCCAAACGACTCGGAAATATATTTGCATATTTCAAACGAGGAAAGCAACTGCTGCTTTAGTTGAGAATTTTCGAGGAGGGAAGAGGCGATGAATCATGACAATACTGTTGTATTTCCAGATGCTCTACTGTTGAATAGATTTCATTAACTACGACGTCGGCAAAAACGCATTTCTCGATGCTCGCCGTCGGAAGCTAGGATAATATTGCATCTTGAACCGCGACGCGAGTTGCAGTGAGAAATTGCATCGTATCGCGTGCACTTTCGCGTGCAACGCCTCGGTCCCCAGAAACGGAATCTTCCGCGGTACTCCCTAAACAACGTGGCTATTAAGTGGAGAAACGCCAATTCCCTAGTTAGTAATCTGTAAATGGCTTGCAGTTTCTGCCGTTGGATCGTAAATGACGTCCCGCTCTTTTACTTTGATGGATGCCTCGCAGACTGTCCCCTCCCACTCTGTTCCTTTCCCTCGCCCTGAAATGCAACTCGCGATAATGCACTGCGCGCTCGATGGTTTTTCGCTCGATATCAATATTCATAAAAGATGCTACTCTCTCGCGTATCTCCCATATAATTACTAAGACCAATGAAACGCATGAAATGCTATTTTAATTAAAACTACCTCGTTTCAAACGACTCCCGGGAAAATCCGTCCACGGTCCGTACAAGGAGTGTTAATAATTTGAGCTGCAGCGAGTCACGCTATAAACCGCGAGATATGTCCTACTTATTATTCTCGACTCAAGCAGCGCCGCTAAACGTATTGTCGCTCTAACTGCCACGTGCGAAGTGCTTTCGGGTGATCATTAGCAGTATCTTAGCGTAATTAACAATTCTTCCAAATTGTATGCACATATATATCTATTGATGAATAGATGAGCTGAATTGAAAAGAGGCAAAAAATACTGAGGAAAAAATATTTGGTGTTTGTAACTATAATCACATAGAGAAAAAATTATTATAAATTAAAGTCAGCAAAAATATCTTTGATTATATTATAATATTAATAACCTGATACACATGTTACTATTACCATTTTCGTGTTACAACTAACAAATAGTTGAGACCAAAAACAACTATAATTTTAGTTAGATCATTTTTTCTCTCAGTATAAGTTTGTTTTGTCATAAGAGATGTCGATGGCCACCAAAAGGTAACTCGCCGTTGAATGCAATAAAATCTTAACGCGAATAAATGAGTAATTGAACACGTAGTTTTCCAATTAATTTGGACAATGAAACTTCCAGTTTTTTTCCAGTTAATTTTAGATAAACCTCGTTCTTCTTTTAACAGAGATTTATAATGCTTAATCCCCCGTGTGTCGTGCAAAGCTGGTCGCACATACGCTGTTCTCCGGAAAGGCTATGTTGTAAATATTCCATGATAAATTTTGCGCTCGCGTATATATGCGCGCGCACGTTATGCTGTCGTGCAAATAATCCTGTTATCATAGTATTGTTTTCTTTGTGCACAACGCGATATTGTACAGCGATGCTATACTCACTTGTCAAAGTGGTGATATACTAGCAGAACATACGCGCTTAACTTTAAGCTATTGCGGTGGTATATTCGCACTGTGTTCTCCGGGATAGTCGCACGTTGTTGTCTCCAAGGATGCAAAATCTGCTTACAACATTGGTCTCACTCGGGTTACCGCCGACATGGCTTCAATTAAACTCGGTTTCTTAGTCTCGGCTCTAGATTAATTACTACTAACACTCGGACGAGCAGCACTGCAACTGTTCACACTGTGTGACGAGATGTTTCTTCCGTTAAGTATTATTCTAAACTGAATTTTAAAAACGATTATAAAGTATGTATTTATATTAATTTTTTATATTTTTTATTCTGTTTTTATTATATTTATTATATTTCTTTATATTAATTTTTTAAACTTCTTATTCTATTTTTTATTATATTTATTATATTTATTTTTATACTATATTTATTATTATATTTTTTATTATATTTTTTATTTTTGACATTCAATTAATTTACAACATTATCATAAGCAATTTAACTTTTGATATTGTGTGGGCAATTTTTGAGATGACGCATGAGCAATGTAAAGACGTATTTTCCGATTATGTCTGGCCATATGAACGTCATCGATGGAACGGTCGTTTCAAATGAAAACACATGAGTCGGTACATACGAATATGTATATAGATTTCAAAGCTCTCGTGCGGATTCGAGCGCATCAATCAGAGGATCGTTTACACTCTCTGGCGGAGTTTACCTTGAAAGAGAGACTATCTCGACTTCGGCACTTCTTGTCCAAGGGGAATCGACAGACCGAAACGTCGTCGTTCCCGGCACGTGCCGAAATCTCAAGAGCCAAAGCTCCCGCCAGTAACTTATAAGGGAACGAACCTACACCCCCTTCGCCACCGCGGAAGACCCGCAAGTCGGATACCTTGATTACTTAGGCGTTGGGAAGTATTGATTTCATCGGATAGCGCGATTCACGGGTTTCCGTGCCATTAAACGACAGACCTAATAATTCTTGTAGAGATCTCAGAACAAACGATTTGCGATCGCGACAATATCGCTGTCGGCGATCGTAGTCTCGATTGCGCGACCACTTTAGATATTAATACTTTGTCCCCCGGGACACGATTCAACGAGCTCTTGTGTTTCCGCGCGATCGCCTCTAGAAAATTAATTCCGAGTGGTGTGTGCGCGATAGGAATGAAACATTCGTCTATTTCAGTCGCCATGGCAAATTATTACTAACAGCCGATTGTATAGAAGTATATTCGCTCCTTTTTAATTTCAATATTATATTTTTTATTATTGATATTGATTAACATTTTTTATAATCAACGACATATCTCGCTTTACAGGATTGGTGAAGTTACGGGAACTGGTGAGGTCACCAAAAATCCGTGACATCGAAGTCAATCTCAGACAGACGGATCCCGACTCGTACAGGCAGGTCCTCTCGGAAATGAAAAGCAAGGAAATTCGAAATCTAATCGTGGACACGAGACCCGAGCACATGCATCATTTTTTACGAATGGTGAGCTCCTCTAATGCTCACCTTATCTTCCATGCTATTTATAAATTACTTCTCAATTACCCGCATGATAATTATTTCATTATTTCATCATGATTTCATTACATTTAGATTTAAGCTATATATAGTTATGAAACTATTAAATATTAAATATATTTTAGTAACGGTTGCTACATAATAAGGAAATATTATCCAGATAAATTTACATTTAGTAAAAATTAATACAACATTAATTAATCCGTATATTGTGGTACAATATATTTAAGAGAAACACTATCGATTGTATCTTAAGAGAATCAATATCGATTGTAAATTATGCGTTTATTTGTAATATATAACCGCAAATGTTTAAAAGATAAAAAAATTATCTCACCACATGTTCCATTTCGCGAAAGCAGTCTCAACTGACCATGTCGCTCTGCATACATTGCAGATCCTGCAGCTGCAGATGAATGATTACAAGTACCACTACCTCTTCACGACTTTCGTAAGTACCCTAGGGATATTGAAACGCATGTGAAGACCCACTTGGTCCGCGACTCAATTTGCTCGCTCGCTTTTCCACAGGATATCGAAACCTTTGACCTCGAGGATTTCAAGTACAATTTTGTCAATATCACTGCCTTTCGTTTGGTCGACGCGGACGACCTCGGCGTACGCAGTATCCTGAGGGACATGGAACGCTATCAGCCTGCGGGGAATACGATCCTCAATAAATCGAGAATCATCCAGGTAAGCGCACATAAGCTCTATGTTTATGGAAATATATCGTGTTATGAGATGCACCCGAGGAGATACTCACGGTTGCGTAGCCGCGCTTTCACAACCGCTTAGAATCCAGAACTTACGTAGAACGCTTGATGATTTTGCCCTCAACGTGTTCTCTATACTCTTATATAAACAGCGATTTCGAGATAACTATGCAAACCATATTTACACGACTATATCAGAAAATATACATCTTGCGTTTGCTAAAAGATCTCAAATGTTTCATCGGCAGATATTCTTTCGATTCGACAGACACGCGTTTCGCAATTACTCATCTGTACTTTATGCATAAAGTGTAACAAGCTCGTGTGTGTTCCCCGAGACGACGTATTTTTACTTCGCAATAACATTTTATCGGTTATTTCTTTCTCGCGACCGTTAGTAACGCGCCTTTTAAAAATTGTCAAAAGAGATCTCGATGAGAGATATAAACAATTTATCGTTACGCTGCGTATTCGTTTCGTCGTCTCGCTACAATGTCGATACATCGACACATTATCGAACATTTTATAGATATGGATTCATCAAATCAATTAAAATCTACGTAAAAAATATACGTGGCTCTATTTCGCGAATAAAGAGAGTCGCATTGTGAAAATACGGAAACAGTAGTAAATTGTTTCTCAACAAAAATAATGAAAATTCATCTTCTCCCATCATGCATGACAAATATTGAAATAGATTGTTGGTTGTATAATCACAATATTTCGAATAAATTTCGAATCGGAAAGAATTGAAATTTTATTTCTATATTAATTCTACAAATTCCGTTGAAACGGATGGAAAATTAAACAACGAATGGAAAATTTCTAAATATACAATTATATATACAGACTACTACCTTTTGATATCATAAATATTAATTTATCACTATTTTTTGAGTATTATTACTTGAGATTGAAGAACACATTTAATTATTTAGTATTCAATTACTTCATTTCTATCTACATTTAAATTTTCTTGATTCTTAATTTCAATAAACTGTGTACTTATTATGTAACTGTTATATAGATAACAATTGTTTTTATTATCATATAGAATGAGCTGCTAATGGCAGTGGTGAAGGTAGGAACTTTCACGTGTCGTGTATTTTTCCGCGGCCGAGTCATATCACGAGTTATACTGTAACGCGGAGCACGTATATCGGCGAGGTGTTTACAATTCTCGTTGGACGTCCAAAATATTTCACCGGCTTTCGTAATATTTAATCCGGTTCTCGTCAACATTGCGCGTTACTTGATATCAAACCTAAATGTGTTATTTATAAATGTGTAACTCACTTGAAACTCTTCTTATATATTCTTTGCGATTTTAAATCGTGTCATTTAACACGTTTGAATGTTAATTTGTGCAAATTAAAGTGGTATCAATATGTTTAATTTGTGTAAATTATAATTTAATACATTTAAATGTGTTAAATGACGCGACTTAAAGCGGTGAGAAACGTATAAAAAGAGACTCAGCCAAAATAACACACTTGGATTTGCGGTGTTGTATTTCTCCAATCGAATTATATCGCGAGTGTCAATGTCAGTGCCATGATGGCGTATACGGAGAAGCCTCCCGGGAGCAGAATACTGAATCGGAAAGCCAGGACGTAGGATGTCGCGGCGCGAGCGGAGATATATCATATATTTTTAGGTATGTTAAGTTTTTCATTAAACAGGATATTTTTTCCTGATTTTTACGAACGTTTAACGAATTCTTTGAAAATAATCCCAAGAATATCTCAAGTCGAAATTAAAAATTTACTCTAAGACCGACATTCACAGTCATATCGTTTGATAAATAATCATAATATCACGAGTCTCTGATTATTCGCCTACTTATCTCGTGCAACAAAAGATATCCATCTAAATGGCCGAATAATAAACCATAGGTACGAACCTGTAATCAATTTCATATCATTCATAGATTATGAATAATTTGCAACTCTTGTATATAAGCCTTGAGCTAGAATCATACAATGCACAATGTTGCCTTTTGGCATGCATGCTGACCAACAATTTAGTTTACATTATGAATCACTACTGTGCATTGTGAGATCGATGCGGTGAACTGAGCTACTTACAGCGTGATGTTCAGCATGTACATTATACATCAGGCGACATGAAATCGTACGTTGTGTTAGACTCTTATCATACAAGTGCTGAAATTCGTTTCTTAAATAATGCTTTCTGAGTCGCGCGAATTTTATTGGGAATCTGTCGACAATAATTTTCATCTCTGTTTAATCTTGTTATAGTGCGCAATCCTTGATGTTTACATAATTGCCATCTTTGGCCTTACAAGTCTTTCCTTTAGGAACACACACACACACACACACACACACACACACACACACACACACACACACACACACACACACACACACACACACACACACACACACACACACACACACACACACACACACACACACACACACACACACACACACACACACACACACACACACACACACACACACACACACACACACACACACACACACACACACACACACACACACACACACACACACACACACACACACACACACACACACACACACACACACACACACACACACACACACACACACACACACACACACACACACACACACACACACACACACACACACACACACACACACACACACACACACACACACACACACACACACACACACACACACACACACACACACACACACACACACACACACACACACACACACACACACACACACACACACACACACACACACACACACACACACACACACACACACACACACACACACACACACACACACACACACACACACACACACACACACACACACACACACACACACACACACACACACACACACACACACACACACACACACACACACACACACACACACACACACACACACACACATACACTTTCTTTGAATATTCAAATCCTATCGAAATTTCTGACGCCAATAAAAAATAATATAACAAAAGAGTTATATAAGTAAAGTTTATCGTTTTATTTACACACATACATATCAAATACTTAATATTTTCCATCTCGTACATAATTGTATCTGTAAGGAAGTAAGTTATATAAATTAATGCAATATTGGTTGACATTGAGTATATAGATTAAATGCTAATGAAGTCTATTAAGATAATCGAATATTTTAAATAATTTTTCAACTTACAATATGCAGAGAAAATGACAGTAAATAAACCTACGTAGCATCAAGATTAGCCAATAAATTATATAGTATTATATCTCAAGATTCTCGATTAATCTTTCTAGTTTGATATATTTGTAGGATGAATGTAAAATCCATATTTTGACTTAAAATTGTTAAAATATGCAATGAAATTAAAATACTGAGAAATTATTTGATTCTATTATGTTAAGTTTTATGTTATTTTATTTTATCAATAATAAAATAATGTACAAAATACATAAAGTCGTAAAATCTACATAAAATATTTGACAGTCGCAATATCGGAAAATCGAAATTTAGTACTTCACGTTTAAATTTCGTATCATATGTACATCTTTGTATACATCCGTTTACCCATTTTCACGGTAAGATTAAATTATAACATGCCATTTCCCCGCATATATTTTGTTAAACAAGTTTTTAAATTATAAATTATAGCATACCATTTCTCTGTATATGTTTTATTGAAAAACAGTTTTCACGTTTAAATTAAACAATGTTTCATCTGTAAATCCCGTTAATTACCTAACTGTTTTTATATATATATATATATATATATATATATATATATATATATATATATATATATATATTTATGCATCTAGCCGATGATCAATGTTGCACTAATGCAAAGAGAATCTAAAAAATATTATTTGATATAAAACTGAATATATAATAATATCTGAGTAATGTCATTTTTACAAGGTGAATAAATGATTGAACGAGTAACATTTTATTTCTTGTTATTTATTGCGACTATGTTCTATGTCTGAAAGCTTCGCAACTTCTACAATCGACAATGATAAATCTACACGCGGTGAAGAAAGTTCTCGTGGCAGGCGCGGCTTTCTCTCGCTCGATGACATGTAACTATATTACGCGGGCATAACATTCGCTATGTATGTAAAAATACACGAACGGCCGCGAACAACGTCCGCGGCGGACACAACGCGTTCACGACGCGTGAAGCTTAACGCTTTTTTTCCAATTTAGATGCAGATCAGAATGCCGTCGCGACTTCGTGAAACTCCACCGGTGCCGTCGTCGCGACGACGGCGTCCCATAATCGCGTTTCGCATCACGCACGTGCGTGCAGACGTGAATACGCTGAATGACGTGCCAACGAAGCACCGTGCTGACGTACAGGGGGAAAAAATCGCGCAGCGCGCGTATTTAATCGAGCTTCCGCGATTTATCGGTCCCACGAGCTTACCATACTTTTTCTTTTTATTTGTACTGATTCGTTGTTCTTGCACGAACTTGGTTGAGATCATAAGTCCCCAGCTCTCCGAAATGTCTAGACTCTCTGGCTTACGATTAGCAATTTTTAAGTTCCATATAACTGCATATATGTACTTTCACTTGATTTTTGCGCATTTAGATTGAGATGCTCAAATCATCGACTTTTTGAATTTTTAAATCTAAAGCCGAAAGAGATCTTGAATCTTTTTTCTCGCATTTCTTGAATCCTTCCACTCGAAACATTTAATATAAAAACAGACATACACACACACAACGCTTTTATTAATCAAAGTCCACAACACCGTTAATAATTACTCAATCATAACTATGTATACATTTTTTACATGCAAAAAGATATCCAAAATGTCAGAAACATCGGACAGTCTCTTTGCTTAACGTAAAATTTCGTGAAATATGAGACAGGTCGTACGAATGTATAATACGGGAGTTCTGTATTTATTCTGCCTGTATTTTGCAGCGGTCGGTTCAATGCAAATAATTCCGTCCTTCATCGAGATCTGAA